AAAGCTTCCAGAGTTGCATAGCTGTGCATTAAGAAATATGGCTACCAGAATGGCATTGCTGACAATACACATATATATTCCATCAAGGCATAGAGAGAAGTGTGCAGATTATATACAGGCATAGAAAGTGGCATTTCAACCACAAGGAAAGCGATTAAAATGTACCCATGCATTTTTGCAAAACATAGATCCATACAAGTTCTGTTCAGACAACACTGTGCCCTCCTTTATCTTCCGTAGCAAAGGAAAGGCGTACAGAATTATACAAAATGACTTTTCAGAGCAACACAGTGAGTCATTTGCAAACGCTGCGTTGGCAGATGGAGGCCTGACGGTGCGATCCAGCTTTCAGGCACGCCGCAGCAAGCACAAACCTGTTGCAAAGCTCACGGTTCCAAGCTTTCCACCACCAGCAGCAGCACCATTACACAATTCAACTGCTTCCTCCCATACAAACAAAACCATTAAGGGCTCCTTCCTACCAAGAGCTCTGAAGGCTATTCACCTGCACAGGCGAGTCAAAGAGCAGAGGGCTAACTCAGGGACTTCCTCAACTGAAAATACAGCACAGTCTCTCTGTGTAAGAAGAATGAGTTGTTAAAAGTCCTGAGGCCGAAAAACTGACTGCTATTTCTTTTGAACGTTCCCTTTCATAAAGGATACCCTGCAAAGAGAGAACTAGCAGGGTGAGAAGGAAGAGCACTTCTCCCCAAGGTTCTCTCTTTCTGCTTGCAAGGTTTTTTTCTCTCTCATTCAAAAATAACATTTCCTGGATATATCAAGGATATAGTTCCAATTAACAATACAAAAATGTCTGTACACTGACAGCTGCTCAATTGCTAATAAGCAGTAAGTCAAAGGGGGTCAACCCACCAAACATTAAGAAAAATTAATTCAATTGAAATTTGAACAATGAGAATTATGATTGGAATTTGAGAAGGATATTATTTATTATATTTATATTCCACCTTGCCCTTCAAAGAACTCAAGGCAGCTTAGATAATCCTCATCTTCCTCACAATCTTATCCTCACAACAACCCTGTGAGGTAGGTTATGCTGAGAAACTTGGCCCAAAGGTGCCCAATGAGCTTTGTGGCTAAGTGAGGACTAGAAACCAGATCTTCAGGATCCCAGTCCAACCCCCTGCTCAGCGCAGGGCTCCCAGTCAAACCATCCCTCTCAGGTGGCTGTCCAGTGTGGAGGAGCCCACAACCTCCCTGGGCCATTGCCATACATAGCAAAAAGCAGCCTCTTTATATTGGAAGGAGGAAGTTCAGGACTCAGTGCAACCTTATTTATTCTTAGGGTACAGGTCTGGGTTTCTGAATTCTTACAAATCTTTGTTAATATTATCTAATGTATGAAAGGATGTAATTCAGAAAATAATTCATGCATTTATTTGGAATGAGGTAATGAATGAATAACATACACTCAGAGTATTTTTTTAAGGACATCTCCTGCCACCTTAGGATTCTACTACCTTGTTCTGTTTCACCAGGAGGCCACACCTACAAGTCAGGTAAATTGCCAACCACCTTGGCATATCCTGGTAGTGGATCCTCTTGCTTTTCAGCTACAAAACTGACGCCTCTTATTAGCATCAGTGCAAAATGTGTCTTTCCCAAATCTGCAGCGGAACGGCTGCTCTGCTACCTGGAGGTACCAGGGACCATACCTGCGCCGTCAACATACAAAGCAGGGACTTGGCCAATGGCCCAACATCCCCTTGGCCCTCCAATACAGCTTTCCAACAGCTGCTTCTGTTCCATGGTCCATCGCAAACTAGTTGTTTCTGTGAGGTGCCATTTAAAAAGGGGGTTAAACATCCTGGGAACAGACGGATTTCATAAACTCATTTCCGGCAGGCACCCCTAGTTTTCACTTTCTGGGGCCAATTCATAGCCCTGCAACTGTAGGCCAAAGTACACCTGCCACAGCGGGCTTGACATCTGGCGTGAGAATGTCAAAAGGACCTTGCTGGATCTGACAACGAAGGTCCATCTAGTGCAGCCTCCTTTCCCAAAAGTGGGCAATCTGGCAAAGCACAGGGACCAACACCCCATCTGGGTCAGTGCTCTGTTCACACACTGACCAACCCCTGCCCCGAAAGGACAGTGCAGTGCATATTTCAGCTTATTTACACACCCTTTGTACTATCAAGGTGACAAAGGCTCACAGCTCCATTCTCGTACTCACTATCCTGAAATAGAAACTTCCCTTAAGAAATGACATCACTGAGCCCAGCTGAGTGTCAAGCCCTGGAACCCATTATATTGTAGCCCAAGAGTGAGGAATCCATAGCCTTCCAGATGCTGTTGGACTACAACTCCCATCTTCCCTGGCTCTTGGCCATTAAGTTGGCTGGCACAGATAGCAGTCCTGAGGCCAACCTCTTCTGCAGGGCCACATTTTCCCACTGCCAGAACTTGAACCCTAAGAAAACAGATAGTGGGTTGGCTTGCACAATCACTGTGGCTTGTTTAAACCATCATGGGTTGCAGCAGCTACTGGAAAAGGGTTCAGAGGAGGGCAACAAAGATGATTCAGGGACTGGAAGCAAAGCCTTACCAGGAGAGATTGAAGGAGCTGGGCATGTTTAACCTCAAGAAGAGGGCACTCTTCAAGTCCTTGACAAGCTATCACAAAGAGGAAGAAAAGGATCGCTCTTCAATCATCCCAAAGCACAGAACACAGAATGGAGGGCTCAAGTTACAGGAAGCCAGATTCTGGCTAAATATCAAGAAGAATTTCCTGACTGAGCAGCACAACAATGGAACCCATGACCCAGGGAGGTCGTGGGTTCTCCCACACCAGAGGCACTCGAGAGGTAGTGGGACAGCCATTGGAGAGGGATGGTTAACTGAATTAAACTGAGTTACTTCCAAATCATGAGAAGTAGTAGTTCCCCTACACACCTCTCTAGTCAGATCTCATCTGAAATGCTGTGTCCAGTTCTGGGCACCAAGATTTAAGAAAGATGTAGAAAAAGTAGAAAGGGTCCAGAGGAGGGCAACAAAAATTATCCAGGGTTTGGAAACACTCCCCTATAAGGAGGGACACAGAGAACTAGGCATGTTCAGTCTTGAGAAGGGAAGACTGAACAAAGGGCGTGATAACCCTCTAGAAGTACCTCAAAGGCTGTCACAGAGAGGAAGGTCAAGATCTCTTCTCACTGAGACCAGAGTGTAGGACATGGAATAACCAGCTCAGGTTGTGACAACCCAGGTCCAGGCTAGATACCAGGAAAGGCTTCCTCACTGTCAGAGCAATACGACAGTGCAACCTGTTGTCTAGGGGGGTTGTGGGCTGTCCCACACTGGAGACATTCAAGGGAAAACTGGACAGCCATTTGAGTTGGATGGTGTGAAATGGCAGGGGGTGGGACCCAATGGCCTTCATGACCCCTTCCAACTCTACTATTCTATGATTTTACGGCAGCCATTTTGAATATTTAACTCCTGGGAGGGATTTGCTATATTTTGCCATGTCACCAGGACCCTGGTCACCAGAATTGTGTAAGGGTTTAACAATTCTTAATAACCTTACAACAAACCAGGGTGTATGTGAGGGTTGTTTAACCCTCAAACTGCCCCTGGTGCAGTCAACATAGCAAGCTCTGACCAGGTCTTGAATAGGTAATCTGGTGCCCACCAGCACCATAGTTTACTGCAGCTTAAATTAGCCATGATGGGCTGCAGTGATTGTACAAACTAATTCAGTGCCTTTGAGAAGCTGAGAAAGAGGGCATAAAACAAACAGGCTCTGGCAACATGCATGGTTCTTCCTACCTCAGCAATTTTTATTCAGTGAGCTGCCATTTTGCACATTTGGGGAGAACTGTGTTGGGGAAGGCAGATCTAAAATAGGCCTAACTTTACAAAAAAACCTAATCTGACATCACCATCAATGTTGATAGTTCTAGAATTATATCCTGTGCAAAGAGGATAATTCCAGCCTACTTGCTTTACCAATGTGCCCTGTTTTGTTTTCATTTCAGGGTTCTCCTCTCCTTCTTCCCATATTTAATTATGTTTAGGGCATTCGTTTTGTCCACCCAAGATTGTAAACCTACAGGGACCTACAGGGACCTTCTTGTTTTAATCCGTTCTGTACAACAGGGATGGGCTGAAGGCAGAGCTGCAGATTCTCTTGGACTTCAGCTCCCAGAAACCCTTGGCAGCACAGCTAATGGTCAGGAATGCTGAGAATAGAAATTCAAAACATTTGGAGATCTGCCCTCTGCCTTCCCCTGCAGGCTCTCCACAAACCATGTACAATGAGCAGCATTCTTGGAAACACAGTAATCTGAATTATAACAGGTCTGATGGATTTTCCATCTGGACCAATGTTAACTATTTTGACTGGCAGCAGGCATGCCCGGGACTCAGGAAAAGAAGAGTTTCTCCCATCATCACCTGTTACCAGATAGCTACTTTAGCTGGAGACACCAGAGAGCATATCTGGGTCATTCTGCGTGCAAAGCACGTGCTCCAGCATTGGAATATAGTCCCCTGAATTCTCAGATAACTGGGAAATGAAGAGGTGTTTTTCACTCCACCTGCCCATTTTATAAAACGGGCTTCCTCAATGTGGCCTGTGCTTTTTCCTCTCCTATGTTACTTCACTCGGGCAAGCAATAACAGGCCTTCTCTCCCCTGCCCAATTTCCCCACCTTCTGGCTAGTCCAAAATGTAAAAATCCCATGCTCACAATCAGCAACTGTCTTGGATCAATTTTGACCGCAGGTAGAGGCCTGAATTTTGATGGCAGGTAGAGGCTGCTCCATCTAGGAAAAATCTCTTTGTGCATGGAAAATTAGCATGTCCAAAATGCTTCTCCCTGATGTGCTAGAGTTCTGTGTGCAGGGAGATTTTAAATATATATTCAGATTCCCACCTGCAGCCTGGAGGGAACATTCCAGGTCGGGATTTGTCACCTGGCCCTGCTGATTGCGCATTCCTGCTCCAAGAAGTTATAACTGAGCGGCCTTCCTTCCTTTCAGAGAACCGGCAGCGTTTCTTGCCCCAAGTGCATCCGCTGGTGTTTCACAAAGTATGAGCTGGTGGTGAAGCTTTTCCCACAGAAGTTGCACTTGTACGGCTTCTCCCCAGTGTGGGTTCTCTTGTGGAGCACAAGATGTGCCTTGCAGCTAAAGCCTTTTCCACAGGCAGTACAGGTATAGGGTTTCTCCCCCGTGTGGGTCCTTTCATGGTACAGGAGAGCCGAGCGCTGCCGGAAGCTCTTCTCACAAGTGGAACACTTGTAGGGCCTTTCCCCTGTGTGGATCCACTTGTGTTTGACGAGATCCGAGCTCCGGTGGAAGCTGCCGCCGCAATCAGAGCACTTGTATGGCTTCTCCCCTGTGTGGATACGCTCGTGTTTCACCAGGTCGGACCTCTGATGGAAGCTCCTCCCACAGTAAGAGCAAGTGTGGGGCTTGTCCCCCGTGTGGAACCTCTCGTGGACGATCAGCTTAGACCTCTGGCTGAAGCATTTCTCACAGGTGGTACATTTGAAGGGCTTCTCGCCTGTGTGGATCCTTTCGTGACGGGAGACATCCGAGCTCCGGTTGAAGCTCTTCCCGCAGAAAGAGCATTTGTACGGCCAGTCTCCTGTGTGGAGCCGCTCGTGTGCAATGAGCTTGGCAACCTGGCCAAAGCTCTTGTCGCACACGGAGCATTTGTACGGGTTCATTCCCAGAGGGAATCCTTCTGGCCCGAGGAGACCCGAGCTGGGATTGAAGCTTCCCCCACAATTGGAGCACAGAGATGGCTTCCCTCCTGGAGGGTTTCCTTCTGTCCCTTCTGGACCATTTTTCTGTGTTCCCTTTGGTTTGTCACAACTCACATAGCTCTCTCTTGCCTCACTGAACCCGCCAACAGTTTCTGCTTGTTCCAGCGACGACGACCCATGCGATTCTGTTCCTGGAGGATCTCTCCACACAAGGGCTTCATCACTTGACCTCACTGGCCCACCATCTGCTGGAATAAAGAGAGGATTGAAATAATCAATAATAATTATGACAAATAGCTGAGCAAAGAAGAGAAGCGAAAGGCAAGGGAGAAAGAGAAAGATACACCCAGTTGAATGCAGAATTCCAGAGAATAGCTAGAAGAGAAAAGAATGCCTTCTTAAATGAACAGTGCAAAGAAATAGAAGAAAACAATAGAATACGGAGGACCAGAGATCTTCAGAAAATCAGAGATATGAAGGGAACATTTCATGCAAAGATGGGCATGATAAAGGACCAAAATGGCAGGGACCTAACAGAGGCAGAACAGATTAAGAAGAGATGGCAAGATTACACAGAGGAACTATACAAGAAAGAGCTTAACGTCCCTGATAACCACAATGGGGTGGTCACTGACCTCGAGCCAGACATCCTGGAATGTGAAGCCAAATGGGCCTTAGGAAGTCTGAGCAACAACAAAGCTAGTGGAGGTGACAGTATTCCAGCTGAGCTATTCAAAATCCTAAAAGACGATGCAGTAAAAATGCTACACTCAATATGCCAGCAAACTTGGAAAACTCAACAGTGGCCACAGGATTGGAAAAGGTCAGTTTACATTCCGATCCCAAAGAAGCGCAATGCCAAAGAATGTTCAACCTACCGCACCGTTGCACTCATTTCACATGCTAGCAAAGTTATGCTCAGAATCCTACAAGCTAGGCTCCAGCAGTATGTGGACCAAGAACTACCAGAAGTACAGGCAGGATTTCAAAGAGGCAGAGGTACTAGAGATCAAATTGCCAACATACGCTGGATCATGGAGAAAGCTAGGGAGTTCCAGAAAAACATCTACTTCTGCTTCATTGACTAGCTAAAGCCTTTGATTGTGTGGATCACAACAAATTGTGGCAAATTCTTAAACAACAGGGAGTACCAGACCATCTTATTTGTCTCTTGAGAAACTTATATGCGGGTCAAGAAGCAACAGTGCAAACTGGACACGGAACCACCGATTGGTTCAAAATTGAGAAAGGAGTTTGGCAAGGCTGTATACTGTCACCCTGTCTATTTAACTTATATGCAGAGCACATCATGAGAAAGGTGGGGCTAGATGAATCACCAGTTGTAATTAAGATTGCAGGGAGAAATATCAACAACCTCAGATATGCAGATGATACCACTCTCATGGCAGAAAGTGAAGAGGAACTAAAGAGCCTCTTGATGTGGATGAAGGAGGAGAGTGCAAAAGTTGGCTTGAAACTCAACATTAAGAAAACTAAGATCATGGCATCCAGTCCTCTCACTTCCTGGCAAATAGATGGGGAAGAAATGGAGGTAGTGACAAATTTTATTTTCCTGGGCTCCAAGATCACCGCAGACGAGGACTGCAGCCAAGAAATTAAAAGACGCTTGCTCCTGAGGAGGAAAGCTATGGCAAATCTAGACAGCATACTAAAAAGCAGAGACATCACCCTGCCGACAAAAGTGCGTATAATCAAGGCTATGGTTTTCCCAGTTGCAATGTATGGCTGTGAAAGCTGGACCATAAGGAAGGCTGAGTGCGAAAGGACTGAGGCCTTTGAATTGTGGTGCTGGAGGAGACTCCTGCGAGTCCATTGGACCGCAAGGTGATCAAACCGGTCAGTTCTAGAGGAGATCAGCCCTGACTGCTCTTTAGAAGGCCAGACACTGAAGATGAAACTGAAATACTTTGGCCACCTAATGAGAAGGAAGGACTCCCTGGAGAAGAGCCTAATGCTGGGAACAATAGATGGCAAAAGAAGAAGGGGGCGGCAGGGGATGAGGTGGCTGGATGGGGTCACTGGGGCAGTGGGTGTGAGTTTAAGTGGACTCCGGGGGATGGTGGAGGACAGGAAGGTCTGGAGGCATGTTGTCCATGGGGTTGTGATGGGTCAGACACGACTTTGCAACTAACAACAACAACAATTATGACAATGCTTAATAATGACAACAATTATAGTTTACTTTATTTCTGTACTGCTCAGTAGCTGAGGCTCTTGGGACAGTTTAAAACAATACATAAAATTTAAAAAAACTTTGTAAAATTTCACTACCATATTTAAAAGCTGCTTTTTCAACCAAATTTACAATAGCTAGCGTAAGTTGGAAGTGGGGAATCATCAGGATGGCGGCCAGTGCCAAGTAGGGTCTGCCAGGGCATTGTCCTGGGACCGATCCTTTTCAATCTTTTCATCAGTGATCTGGAAGAGGGGATGACCAGTGTGCTGATCGAAGTTGCAGATGATACTAAAATGAGGGCAGTGGCCACAACTGAGCAACAGGTACTCCGGACCCAGAAGGATCTGGACAGACTATAGAAGTGGGCCGGGAACAACAGGATGGCATTCAGTGAGGATAAGTGCAAGGTCTTGCACTTGGGGCATAGGAATAGGTGTCATAAGTACAGGTTAGGGGACAAGTGGCTGGAGAGCAGCACTTGTGAAAGGGATCTCAGAGGGCTCGTCAACTACAGGCTAAACATAAGTCAGCAGCATGACGTGGCCTTCAAGAGGGAGAACACCACCCTTGGTTGCATAGCCAGAAACATGGCTTCTAGATCAAGAGAGATATTACTACCACTCTATATGACTCTGGTGCACCTGCAGCTGGAGTCTTGTGTTCCGTTCTGAGCTCCACATTACAGGAAGGATATAGCCAGGCTAGAGTCAGGGCCACAAGGGTGGCGGCTGGATTGCAAGGAAAGACGTATGAGGCGAGACTGAGGGAACTGGGTCTCTTCAGCCTGCAGAAGAGGAGACTCAGAGGGGATCTGTTGGCGACATACAGGTACATGAGGGGATGTCACATGGAGGTGGGTAGAGACCTGTTCTCCCCTGCAGGATGCGCTCCAACGGAGCAAAGTTCAGGGAACCAAGGTTCAATTTGGATGCCAGGAAGTATTTTCTGACAGTTAGGACCTCCAGGGTATGGAATGGGCTTCCACAGGATGTGGTTGAAGCCCCATCAGTGAGGGTATTTAGGGATAGGCTGGACATGCACATGGTAGGCATGTCATGAGCAGAGCCAGTTGGAGCTGGCTGGAGCCAAGGGTCAGACTAGATGGCCCAGGAGACCCCTTCTGACTCGTTTAGTTTCTATGTTGCTAAGTTAGAAGCACAGAACAGTAGAGTTGGAAGGAGCCAGAAGGCCATTGGGTCCCAGCCCCTGCTCAGTGCAGGACTCCCAGTTAAACCATCCCGCTCAGATGACTGTCTGGATCAGGGGTCCTCAAACTTTTTGATTAGGACCCCAGCTGAAAGGTGTCAGGGATGGGTGTGGGCCGTCAAGGCAGTGCAGACGGGGGGGGGGGGGGGCCGGAGGGGGGGGGGGGGGTGCATGCGCACGCAGAAAGGCAGGGGCACGTGTGCACAGAGATCATTTCCTCCAAGCGAGTCCAAAACCATCTCCTTGCAAGCAAGCTGGGGCCGGCTGGCTCACAAGGAGATCATTTTGGACTTGCTCGGAGAAAAGGATCTCCCAGCAGGGCACCAGCTTACTCACAAGCGACTCCAAAATGACCTCCTCGCAAGCAAGCCGGCACCTCACCGTGTGTGTGCGCGCATGCGCGGCAAGCTGTGGTGGGCCAGATAAATGGGCAAGGCGGGCCGGATCCAGCCCGCGGGCCGTAGTCTGAGGACCCACGGTCCAGATGCTTTCTGAATGTCTCTAGCAACGGAGAGCCCCCAACCTTCCCGGGTAACAAGTTCCATTGTCCTACTCCTCTGACAGTGAGGAAATACTTCCTGGTGTCTAGTCTAAATTTGGTTCTTTTAACTTAAGACAGAACAGGCAAAAATGGGACAAAGGAAGGGCATGAACGCTCACTGAGCACTGTCTTCATTCTGAAGCAAGCACACAGCCCTACCAGAAGGCCAGTGACGGCTGACTTCTGAGTAAAGGTACGTGCAACTGTGCAGCCTTCCTGAGGCTTACTCTCTATTACTTCTGGGTACCAAGGTTGTACAGCAGGACGCCTTACTCCTGACTATGTTCAATAAACAAGAATAGTTTAAAGTACACCTGTCTGCTTCAAAAATGCCCCCTGGCTCCAGTGCTTTTATCACCACCTATTGTGAAAATTCCTAGATGAAATCAAGCCAGAACTTTCCCTGGAAGCAAATATAACGAAACTGAAGCTGTTGTACTTTGAGCACATCAGGAGAAGGCAAGACTTTCTGGAGAAGTTGCCAGGGAAAGCCAAAGGCAGAAGAAAAAGAAGGTGAAGTATGAAATGCAGTGGTACCTTGGCTCATGCCTCAGTTCACGAGCAAATCGGGTCGTGAACAGAAATTTCTGAAAAATTTTGCCTGGGGTCGCGAACTCCGCATTAGGTGACGATCACGATTGCGCCCACCTTCCCCGCCAAGCACACCTGCTTCAAATTTCTGTGATTAAAAAAAAAGTTACAGAATGGATTAACCATATTTATATTGAACCTTATGGGGAAATTTAACCTGGCTCACGACCAAATTGGGTCACGACCAGAGTCCTGGAACAGATTAAGTTCGTGAGCCAAGGTACCACTGTAGTTCCCAGCAACCTGGAGGCCTTCAGAGGCATTTGGACTGAAACTCCCAGAATTCCCATCCAGCAGGGCCACTGACTGGGAATTCTGGGTGTTGCAGTCCAAACCTGTCTGGAAGACGGCAGGTTGGAGATGGCTGAACTAGACTGATTCCACACAAGACACCGTTACCTTGCCTTTACAAGAGCTGAGCAGGGTGTCTAGGACAGGACATTTGGGGGGCCATCCATTCCCGGGGTTGCCATGAGTTAGATGACTGGACGGCACATTAGTGTAAAGGTGTCCCCACTTCTGCAGCATGGCTTTCTGAGATGCTTCCAGGATCCGAATTCAGCCCACACTTGGCCACCTGCCCATGTGCTTTTCACAAGCCAGGTCTCATGTGCCTGAGCCCCGATACCCATATGGAAGCCTAACAGGTTGCAAGAGGCACTCACCCATAGAGTGGCCATCCTCATTGACTTCTTCCTTGACCGGCCTGCCAAGTGGCCCTTGTGCATTCCCCGATGAGGCCCGTTCGGTGTCAGGGAAATTCACGGTCACCACATGGAACATCCCTGGACCCTGAAAAAATCAACAAGCAGTTATTATTATCAAAATGTAAATAATAAAATTTAATTATTAAAATACCTAGAGAATAGAACAGTCTTTGCCCGGCGCCAAAACGCTAGTAAATAAGGGTGTCATATGAACTTTCTTTGGGAAGCCTGTTTTAATCAAACAAGATTATCAACAAGTAAGCAAGCAATTGAACTTTCCTACAGGAGCTTCTGAAGCCCATGTTAACACCGTGGCCACGTGTCTTCTTTTACAGGGACAGTCCTCTGTTTGAAGGGCTGTCAGAGAAAGGGCCTCATCCTCTGTTTGAAGTGCTGTCCAATCTGAAGACAAAAAACGGCTGAAAGGCAGAGCAGGGACTGTGAAGCTGCCTTTTTAATTTTTATTTTTATATACCACCCCATTCCTACACTTTCAGGATGGCTTTAAAAGATTAAAACTAATAACAATTCAAATTTAGACCAAAACAAGCATATTAAATCAAACTAATCTGGGAACTGTTTTTCATTTATTTTGATTTTTATGTTGTCTACAATTAATACCCGTTCACCAGTTAAGGCTTTTGGCAGACTGGAAGGGGCAAGGAAGGAATTCCCAAGAAAGGCAGAGTTCATTTTCCTAATTCCTTCTTGCTGGAAGATTTTAGTCATTTTATTTTAGAGTAAAATCTTTCTTTTGATATTCAGAATATATAGATATCCTTCCCTTGCTGAGGTGGGTGGAAGGACAATCATCTTTTGAAAAGATATGCTTTTTATTGAGTGATTCTAAGAAATATGTAACTTTTAGAAGTTAAATTTCTTGTTCTGTCTTTGCATTTGTGGAAGCCAAGGGGACAAATGTAATAATACAAGGATTCTTCAAAAAGGGTCTGCACTTTTCAAAACTCTATTTATTAAAAGAATTTCAAAAACAAATTACATCACTTTTCTACACAGTTGCCTTCCTTTACGATGCGTTTTCCCCAGCACCATACCAACTTTGTAATGCCATCAGCAAAATACATATAAAATACACTTATAAAATATAAAAGTGCAGAAACTTTTGAAGACCCCTCGGACATTTAGTCCATTGTGTAATGTCTGGCAGTTAACTACTTATAATAACTTTGAGGAATTCTGTTTCCCCATAATGGAGAGATGCACTGCATGACTATGTCACTAATTTTTTTAAACGTGCATCTACCTGACAGATAGGGCAATCGTTTGACCGGATCATTTGGACTACAACCCCCACATCCATCCCCATTGGCCATGTTGGCTGGGGCCGATGGGAACTGCCATCCAAAAGGGCACCAAGTTAGCTGGTCCTAACTGGTGCCCATCCTTTAGCATCTGAAAATGGCATTTAAATCCATTTCTTCTTTTCTGCTCTGCCGTTCTCTCGGGGGATCAGCCGGGAGCCACCCTAGACCTGGTGGGCCCTGCTGGCCAATTCTCTGCACAGCCCCGAGTTCCAGAACGTGACGCTCTTACTTTCTGTTCCTGCCTCCCGTCCTCTTGGTGCCTCAGCAGGAAATCCTCTGCCAGGGCCACTGCCTGGGCGCAGGTGTGGGGGTGGCACCCCCTCACCCAGTTCTCCATCTCCGAGGGCAGGACAGCCAGGAACTGCTCCAGGATCACCAGCTCCAGCATCTGCTCCTTGGTGTGCCGCTCTGGCTTCAGCCACTGCCGGCAAAGCTCCCACAGGTGGCTGCAAACCTCACGGGGCCCCTCGGCCTCCTGGTAGAGAAACTGCCGGAAGCGGCGGCAGGGCGGCTCTGCCCCCATCCCAGCATCATGGTCCATCTCCTCCTTCACTTTCCTCTGCTCTCGGTCAGCTGCTTGCGCCATCCCCTCAAAGCCCGTGGGCAGCGGCTGAAGAAACTGCCCTTCCGGGGGTTGCTGGCCGGCTGCCGCCGCCACCCCCTCAAAATGGGCCATGGGGGACTTCATTTCTCCCCACGATGCAGCGTCCGGCACTGGCCGGGCCCCCCACCCCGAGCGAGGGGCCTGCACGCCCCCCAGGAACTCCTGCCACTGGGCCTCCCAGCGCTGCGACGACGGCCCGTCCTCCGGCTCCTGCTTAATGTGTGGCAGGCCCCTCCAGGCCAGACTTGGCCCATCCGCCCCCATCCGGGCATCTTTCGGTCCTTCTCTCAGGCCTTCCAGGTCTGTCTCCCGCTTCAGGTCTGCAGGCCCTGCATCTTCCACCTTCAGCGCTGTCTTCATCCCATGCTCGAGCCCGGCACGAAACTGAAGGTCCAGGGCCGAGGGCTCTCCCTGCTCGGCAGCCATTTTGTCTCCGACGATGGACAATTTGGGCCTTCCGCTGCTAAGGAAGAAAAAATGGCTGACTAGCTGTCTTCAGGCCCTGGAATTACATTACTATGAAGTGGGCCATTCTGCAGGAATCCTGTCTTCCTCAGTTAATTCTTCTTAAAAAAAATAATAATAATCCTGCAGGTGCTCTTTCTTGAGAAATTCAGGTCATGAAGAAACAGTTTGCTCTTCCCATACAGCCAGAGGCATTTTTTCTCCCTGAGGGAAGGAGACATGAAAAATCATGAGAGAAATGTGAGGAACTGAATAGCCAACCTCCATAGCACAACCATGAAGCTCATGGGAAAACTCTCAGCCTCAACCACCTCACAGGGTTGTTGTGAGGAGAAAATGGAGAGAAGGAAAATTCATGCATGCTGCCTTGAGCACCTGGGAGAAAAGGAAGGATATAAATGCAACACACAATGACCAAAACTAGGCTGCAAAGTTTGCTCAATTAATTGGCTATGTTCATAGACATGCACCTGGTGGGCATGTTGTGAGCGGAACCTGCTGGAGCCTGGGGTCAGACTAGATAGCCTGGGAGACCCCTTTTGACTCGCTCTGTTTCTATGTTTCATTGTTTAAAAAGCAATGAATAAACAAGGCAAAGCAAAATCCTGTGCCAGTAGACAGAGCCTAGAACAGTGGTGGCGAACCTATGGCATGTGCGCCACACTGGACATGCAGAGCCCTCTCCGTTGGCACGCAAGCCAAGTTGCTCCATCATCGGCCCAGCAGCCAAACATCGGATAACAGCGCACACAGGGGCCATGCCCATGCTTGGAAAGGAGTAGCGGTGCCAGGTGATGACGTCACGAACCCTGACTCATTAGCCACAACTCACCCGAGCTTTGGCATGGCCGGTCAGTGTGCTGGCAAATATATACATGCATGCATGCATGCATGCTTGGACTGGCTGTGAGTTTTAATACATTCACTTTTATTAACACAAGATTTTAGCTTTGAGTTTTCTTATGAAAAATTGAAATTTAATATCTAAGATTTAGCAAAGAGATGTTCTAATTAAGAGACTGAGATTCTTTTAATGTTGTGCTGTCCCCCTGGCATATTTGAGCCAAGGTTTGACAAATTATCAGCATACATACAACAGCAAAGATCACATTAATTGTGCAAAAGCACTCCAAAAGCAAACTTGTACCATTCAATAAAAAGCTGTTTGTATCATTGAAAGCTCTGTTATTTTGTTTTTCTTTTAAGACAAAAGATGTTAATGTATGAGTTGTTTTTTTCTAAACTAAAACCTCAGTATTCAGGGTTTATTGCAGTGTTGGCACTTTGCGATAAATAAGTGGGTTCTGGGTTGCTGTTTGGGCACTCAGCCTCTAAAAGGTTCACCATTGCCAGCCTAGAGGGTCACAAAATTTTTCCGAGTCCCAACTATACAACTTTGGCAATCACTCCAACCTCAGAGCTAAGAAACAGAGTTGTCCTAAGAGGGTGGCAAAGATGGCCAAGGACATGAGGACGAAAACCTGTGAAGAAAGGTTGAAGGGCCTAGGTCTTGCTTAGCCTGGAGAGCAGGCAGTGCTTCCTTTCATTGATCTCCTTCTGTTGGATGGCTGTCTTCAAACGACAGAGCTCATTTGTTCTTGGCTGCTGCCACATCTGAATGGACATGGCTTCAAAGGCCAAAAGGGGGGATTTCAACAAAGCCTTGGGAAGAAGTTCCCTAAGGTGACTGCGGTGGCGAGGAGCGCTTTTCTTCAGCTTCGGCTAATCTATCAGCTGCATCCCTACCTGGAGGACGACTGCCTAGCGACAGTGACGCATGCATTGGTTACTTCCCGGCTGGATTTCTGTAACGTGCTCTACGTAGGGCTGCCCCTGAAGACAGTCCGGATACTTCAGATGGTGCAAAACAGAGCAGCCAGGTTGCTGACGGGGACTGGGCATTATTCTCACATAACCCCAGTCCTCTACCAGCTTCACTGGCTTCTCATCGAAGTCAGGGCTCAATTCAAGGTGCTGGTTATTACTTATAAAGCCCTTAACGGCTTGGGACCTGGATACCTGAAGGAACGCCTTCTTCCATATTTGCCCTCCTGCCCCTTGAGATCAGCAGTAGAGGCTCTCCTCCGGGAACCCTCTGTGAAAGCTATTAGGAGGCAAAGTACCCGGAGGAGGGCTTTCTCTGCGGTGGTGCCCCATCTATGGAATGTGCTCCCCAGAGAGGTCCGCCTGTTACTTGTTTTTCGGCGCCAGGTTAAGACCTTTTTACTCCAGCGATATTTTAATAAGTTTTAATATTGTCTTTTCTATATTTTTAACTGCAGCCAGTGTGGGTCGGGAATTTATTTATGCTATATTTTATGCTGTAAGCCATCCTGAGGCTTTTTGCGACAGGACGGCATATAAATATTTTAAATAAATAAATAAAGGTAGAAGCTATTCAACAGCAAAACGAATTGCCCCAGGTCTTAAGGACGTTGTTGGATGGGATCACCCATCACGGATGCTGTTACCGCATCAGCAACAGTTTGGACTGGATTATCTTTGAGGCTTCTTTGAGAACTAATATTCTACGATCAAAGGTTGACTCTTCCCTCATGCCACTGGAACATCTTTTGTATATGGGGAGGGGATATTATATGTATGAAAACTGCATCCTGCAAGCTCTGCACTGCCCTGATCTCGGTGTGATCCAGCATGGCTCTTTGGACCTTAACGTCTCTTCTAAAATAATGCCTGCTACACATGAGGTATGCAGTTGAAAAGCAAAGCCAAATACTGCATTTACCAATATGCAAATTTAATCAATGGATTAATGCAGCTGTCTCCAAGCTTGTGCTTTCCAGACACATTTGGACTGCAACACCCAGAATTCCCACTCAGTGGCCCTGCTGGATGGGAATTCTGGGAGTTGTGGTCCACATGCCACCAAGTTGGGGGAAGTGGAATTAACAGATACATTGAACTGAAACTCATATGGCTTCCAGGCATATTAAAGTATCTTCCATTACATTCTGGCCCTAACAGAAGGAAGCCTTCAAACCTAGCCACCCCCAATGTGAGCCCCCCCACATGGTTTGGATCGCAATTCCCATCAACCCCAATCAGCATAAACAATAAACCAAGATAATGGGAGTCCTGGTGAATGTCTGCAGCACATCAGACTGGGGAAAACATAAAATGAAATTAAAATCCTTGCATTTAGAAAACTAGACTGTGAGAAAAAATATAGCCTAAAACTTTTCTTCCTGACAGGCTATCTTTCCAAATCAAAGATGTTTTTCCTTTTTTGTGTCATTACACCCCGAGCCACCCATTTTCAAGAAATCTTAGTGAAGTTGTGGCAAACTTTGGAGTGCAGACACAACAGCCGTGTCCCCAAGGAGACTGTGAAAATGTGGGGTGCTATGTTGATTCTGCACCGAAATACACAAGAAAAGAGCAGTGTGGTTCCTGACAAGCCAGCATCATGGGTAGGTAGGGTTGGGGATCCACCAAAGATCCTCACCCAAGCAGGGGCTCACTACTGACACAAGATCTCTGGACTCGCTTGTCATCATCAGGAAGGCAACCCAAAAGAGCAGGTTTGTAGCTTGGAGGTGCTCCTTGATCCTTCTTTGTTACTTGAGGCTCAAGTGGCATTGGTGGCTCGGAGTGGCTTCTTCAGCTGGAGGCCCATAACAGTAATCGATCTTCTGGTAATCTCTAAACTAGACTACCGCAATGCACTCTCCGTGGGGCTGCCCTTGAAGACAACTCAGAAGCTGCAGCTCCTGAAAATTAATTACCAGAGTCACAGGTCACAACAAATAAGACCAATTCTGGCCTGCCTGCATTGGCTGCCTGTGTACTTCTGGGCCCTGTCTGTCTGTCTGTCTGTCCGTCCGTCCGTTTTACTGTATGTTTTTCAGCTATTTTAAATTTGTTTTATTGTTGTTTTCTTTTTAGGATATTTGTATCATATTTTATTGCCTTGTTTTATGTACTGTTTTAAACTGTCCAGACAACTTTGGCTATGGGGGGTGGGGGTGGTACAGAAATAAATAAATGATTAAATAGATAAATATTGTTCATCTGCATTTTGGTCTGGCCCAGTAAAGGTCACCAGAAGGGGCAGGAAAATCTGCCAGCCAAGCAAGCAAGTGGTTGCCATGAGGAGAAAGAAAAGAAGAGCAAGGACAGGTGGTAGGAAGGTTGTCTCACTGAGGGACAGGGCCATAGAAGGCACACTGGTCCAGTTCCCTCCAAACCCTGCCACCAAGTATAGAGCCTAATATCTGACTTATTAGGAACAGCCCATCAGAAACAGAAGAGTCGGGACAAAATGAGCGAAAACTCTGCCACAATACGGCTGCTAAAAAGCCAAGCACTTAAGAACCGCTTTAGAATTAAGATGGGATTCATGATCTGATCTTGCTTCCCACATACACCTTAGAGATGCTAACATTTGCTTGTCCTGCTATGTTGTCCTAACCCCATTCAATCCATTTTTTTTTTAAATCTCATGGGTCTGTAGCAAACTGCCCCTGTGATTCTCCATTCTCCCCAAACTTTGTAAACGACTGATAGCTTATAAAAGAACCTGCTCTTCCTGTTTTGCTTTTTTTCTTGTTAAGGGAAAGGGTGGACCAGCTTTTCTCTGAAAAAAGTCATACTCTGATCTTTTGTATTCAGAGGCCGTGGATTGGAGGATCCTCAGTATTTCGGACCTGTTGGCAAATTTGGGAATTGGAGAAACCTGTGTGGGCACTATTGCAAAATCCCTTATCAATGGACAGCTCCTGCCGTATCTCTGCATCTTTGCTCCGGTTCTCGTCTACTGGCCTCTGCAGCAAGAAGGAGTGTGGAATTCAGCAAATTGCTGAAGGTGCAATACAGCTAACGATCCTTTTAAAGATTTATTTTAGTAATGTCCAGGAATTGCTACTTTTGAGGAGGTTATTATACAGATAGATTTTGTACTGGAGCAGTCTTTAATAGTCACTGCTGTGCACACTCTTTGAATTATTTATCCACTTCACGGAAATTAATGAATGGAAGGGGAAATAGATTCTCTGCACCCTTTTGACTGCTGAAAGCCTGAAATTTAAAAACACCGGAAGAATAAACATTCGCCTCCTATGATGCAATGGACTGAGGGCCTTACACTATATGCCATCTTCAAATATTTGGATATTTGACCCACTTTTGTTGATGCCCATGCAGAATTTCTAGAAGAGTGTATGGACATCATACAAATCTGTCTACATATATTAAGGAATGGATACAAACAGTCAAAAATCAGGTGTCCACACACTTCCCCGACACGAAGAGGTCATTAAGACTAACCAGCAATCTCAAAATTAGGTCATTAAGACTAAGCACCAATCTCAAAAATAGGATTGCTCCCTAATCCAGCACAGCCTGAAGCCGAGGCTCTGTCACTCTTTTGGATGGCAACACTTGTCATTCTTGACCACTGGCCCTGCTGGCTGGGGCTTATGGGAACTGTAATTCAACAATATCAAGAGGGCTACAGGCTCTACACCCTGGTCTAACAGGAAAGGGATGGCAGGTTTACCCTGGTTAGTATAGCTGTAAACCATCCCGAGACTTTTAAGTATGGGGCGGTATAGAAAGGTTTGGGGGGGGGAGAGGGGGGGAGAGAGAGAGAGAGAGAGAGAGAGAGAGAGAGAGAGAGAGAGCGCGCGCGAGCGAGCGAGAGGTCAGATCTCTCTCCTGCTCCACAACAGGCATGGTCGAAAGACAGCGCTTCAGAAAACCAGTTGACCTCCAGGACCTGCTGATTACTGAGGATAGCAGCATAAAAAGAACCCTGCTGGATCAGGCCATCATCCACTGGGTCCAGGATTCTGCTCACGCAAGGCCAACCAGCCTCTGAGAAATGTACCAGCAGATGAATGCAACAGCACCCTCTATCCATGTTCCCCAGGAACTGGTACACATGGCTACACTGCCTTTGGTAGCAGAAGCAACATATATCCATGAGGACTAGTAGCGGCTCCTTATTTAAGGAGATGTCTATAGCGGACAGGTTAGAAAAGCGGTGAATAAATAAATGTAAGAGCATAAGAAGAGCCCAGCAGGGTCAGACTTGGCTCTTTCTAGTCCCACAGCTGCCCCAGTGGGAAGGCAACCAGCAGAACATGAGTGCAGGGGCACCCTTCCACCCATGTTCCCCAGCAGCTGGTGTTCCTAGGCCTACTGCCTCTGATACTGGAGGTGGCCATGAGGACTAGCAACCCTTGAAAGCCTTCTCCAGGAAGTTGTCCAATCCCTTTTTAAAGAGGTCCAGATTTGTGTCCATCACTAGATCTTGCAGAAGCAAATTCCACAGTTTAAAGTCCTTCCCTTTATTTGGCCTGAATCTCCCCCATCAGCCTCACAGGGTGACCCCTTTCAGCTCCGATATTATAAGAGAGAAGAAAATCTCTCGCTCTTCACTTTCTTCATGCCAGGCCTATTTTTGCACACCTCTAACATGTCCCCTCATCCTCTCCCTTTTCCTAAGATTGGAAACAGGCCCAGCTCCAGGATTTTTGAGGTCCTGGGGCAAGACACCTTCCATGGGCCTCTTCCCTCAGCTTGAAGTTAGCAGAGAAGATTTGGGGAGGCCTGGAAGAGGTGACCCTGTGTTTTGTCCCAACACAGAGGAAAAACTAGGAGGGTGACATCAGGATGTTTGTCTTTGTGCGTTTCCTGTCCGTTTGCCTGTTTGCTTTTCTACGTGCAACAAACAATTAATCACCTAGGCTTTTGGGTGGTTTCAATACTGACTTCTTACTAACTCTATTCCAAGACCATTTATTTTTCAAGTGTCTAAATTCACCTTTCTAAAGTGTTACCTTTGCAGCCTAAATGACTTGGAACTAGTGTACCCTGAGCTGGGAAAGCTGGGAGTTTTAAGACTTTTTACTCTCCTATGCATATTTAGCATAGGATTGCACTGTAAAGGAACAACTCCTGGGTGCTGGGTGTAGCTGTCAGGTCCCTGCAGCCATCTTTGGGGGCCTCCTCCAGGTGGCCCCATGAAAGAAGCTACAGGTTGACTGCAAGAGGGAGGGCCTTCTTGGTTGTGGCGCCCCATTTATGGAATGCCCCACCCAAAGGTGCCATCCTATACATGTTTGGATGGAAAAAGAGTTCTACAACTCCAAACTTCCCCCATTCAGCAGGCTGGCTTTAAAGTTACTGCCCCTAATTGACCATTCCAGTTCTTTATGGATGCAATCCTACACATGTTTAGACAGAAAAATAGTCCTACCACTCCCAGCATTCCCTGGGAATGCTAACCAGGTGAATTCTGGGAGCTGCAGGACTTTTTTTGTCTAAACATGTAAGAAATTGCACACGGAGAGACCTAGTTATAGATTTTTATGGTTGTTAATCATTGAGCTGGTTACCATTTCGCATCCTATTCTATCTTTTAAGTTTTGTTTTGTATCTTTAATGCATTGTAAAGATTTATTTTGTATTTTAATGCATTTTGTACCTTTAATGCATTGTAAGCCTTTTAGCTGTTTGCAATCTACCCAGAAAATATTGGCTATTGGGAGATTTATTTATTTACAGCCCTATAGCCAAATCCCTCTGGGTGGTTTATAACAGTTCATAAAATACAGCACAAAATGCATATTAGATGAAAACATATTAGATGAAAACCTTCACTAAAACCCTTTTTAAAAATCAAATTGAAATAGCTAAAATGAGTTCATTCTACTAGTCTTGTTAGAGGCAGCTGGCATAACCCTTCCATATGCCATTACAAGCCTCTCTCAAGTCCCTGGTTATCGACTCCACCTCCTGGGAGACCCTGGCACAAGACCAATCCACATGGCGCGCGCTGATCCACCAAGGCTGCCAAACATCTGAAGCCAGAAGGACAACCATAGCACAAGAGAAGCGAGCACTCCGTAAAGCTAGAGTTGCAAATGTTGCAACAGTGGCGCCCACACAGGTCTACCCGACATCTGGCAGAATACTCCGTGCCCCTATCGGCCCCATCAGCCACCTGCGGACACACCGTGGACAGCTCACAATCCGTTAGATGTCAAGGCCCTCAATGAAAACGATGGACGAACATCACAAGATATTAAATACCTCTGCAAAGAGGGCAGTTTAACCTGCCCCCAAAAGAATAACAGAGTTGGTGCCAGGCAACTCCCACCAGGGAATTTATTCCACAAGCTGGGGCCACTCCCGAGAAGACCCTTGCTTGCCACCAAGGAAGCCTCCTTCAGAGGCGGCATTCGGTGGAAGGCCTCAGATGCTCAGCAAGATGTCCGGGTAGATTTAGCTCAAGAGGCAGTCTGACAGGTATTACAGTCCCAAACCATATAAAATGTAATTTAAAAGGTATTAAAGTACAATAAAATAGCAAAGTATAACAACATAAAATCTAATGAATTTTTAAAATAAAACATACCATGTTGTGCTTCTTTTGCATTTATACATGCACAAGGGTGGATAAATGCAAGCACATTAATGATTAAATGATTCATAATTAATTAAAATAATATATTAGTCATATATACACATTTCATTTTCGTTGGTTTTCATGTCAAGCCACCCAGAGAACACGGCAGCAATACTGATGTGCGGCTCACAGGATTAATTAATGCTGCAGGGATGTTCTTTTATTTTTGCATAACAAGCCAAGAGAACAGGGGGCTATCAGCCATCAAAGACAGCATGGGAACACTCCAGCATTTCAGGCAGGATTCTTTATAAGAACATTAGATTCTTTCGAATGCTGGGGATATCACCTGAGACCACCTACATGCCAAGCAGTGGCTTGCTGTTTTCCTTCACCTAAAACCAAGCAAGTTTCCAGTCCTCATGGTTCTGAAAAAAGAGCTGAATTAAACAGGAACACAGGAAGCTGCCTTCTGAGTCTGACGCATGCTCCCTCTAGCCCAATATTGTTGACACAGACCCACAGAAGCCCTCCAGGGATTCTGGCTAGTTCCCCCCCCCCCAGCTTTGCTGCAGATCTCAGCGGCTGAAGCTGGGAAGTCCCGCTGAGTTCGGCCCCCCTCCCATCTATTAAGAACCCATCAAGAGACCCAGCAGCTCTGCGTGCTCCGTGCATTTTAAAAATAAAAACCAGGCGATCATAGAGGTTCTAGTTTAAAAAGCAACTGAAGACTGGGCAGCATGGGACTAAACTGCAAGATGCCGTGGGGGGGGGGGCGATGGAAGGGGAAGGAGCTTGTAGCAGGAAACGGGGGGTACCCCCTTCAGTCCGCATGCCCTACTCTAACCAAGCCTCTGCCTGCAATCCACCTACCTGGCAATACACCCCACCGGCCTGAGCGGGGCTTACTTCCGAGCAGACGTGCCCGGAACCGCCCTCTAAGTCTGCATAACCGACATTGTATGCATGGCTGTATTTTCACTCATCTCTTTTTCTATACCACCCAACAGCCGAAGAGTCATAAAGGGACAAAACGCTCAATCCCCCCGTCCCTTCCTTCCCCTTCCGCCTTTGTGTCTCAAGCCAGACTGTAAGCTCCTGGGGGCAGAGACCCGTCCCCCTCTCCTGCGCCTTGCGACGGGCGACAGGCCACGCGCCACGATCCCGGGGCTAATTTATGAACCACGCGCCCCCGAAAGAGCTCGCTGCAGGGAAACAATGGGCACATTTTCTTTCTCCTTTCCTTCTCGCCCTCTCCGTTCCGCCAGCGGCAAGAGCTTTCGAGGAGGGGGGCTTGGCGGGCGGGAGGGGGCCGGCTGCGGAGGGGCGGCCGGCTTGCCTGTCAGGCGCTCCTCCGAGCCCCTCTGCGCCTCTGCGCCCTCCCTTCCCGGGGGTCTGGCTGGCTGGCAGGCAGGCTGCGGGCACGGCTCGCCGCGATCCACTCACCCCGAGGAAGGAAGAGCCGCCGCGCCGCGCCGCGCCGCCCCGGCCAGCCGAGCCCCCGCGCGGGCAGGAGGCGCCAATCCGTCCGGGCGCGGGAGCGCAGCGAGGGGGCGGCCGCCGCTCCGCTGAGCTCGTAAGCACGAAGGCGGCCTCGGCTATTTACAACCTCCCTTTCTTTAAAAAAAAAACCACACACACAAGAAGCACACACGCAGAGACACACACACACACATGCACACACACTGGCGCACCCCCGGCGCGGTGCCGCCTCTCGCAGGCTCTATCGTGTTAACTCTTGCAGCGCGCAGGCCTCCTTGGCGAGGCGAGGCGAGGCGCGGCGTGGCCACTGGGGGCGCCCGCCCGCGCGCCCGCCCGCCCGGCGGGGCCACGGGGGCGGCAGCGCGGGCAGAGGCCAGGGCCTCGCAGCCCGGGGGGCCCGCGGGAAGGAGCGCCCGCCGAACGGCAGAGCAGCAAAGTGACTTGCGAATGCAAAACCGCACCTGCTTAGACGATGCTGTTGTTACATTATATATATTAATATTTTTATTTGTGTGTGTGTGTGTGTGTGTGTGTGTTGCGCTGTGAGCCACCCAGAGAACCTCTGGCTATGGGGCAGCATACAAATGCAGTTTATTATTATTATTATTATTATTATTATTATTATTATTATTATTATTATATCATGGCGTTTTAAGCATTCTCTCAGGGGTCACGGAGATAATTCTTGCTTGTTCCATATAGAGATCCTGAGCAATCCAAAAGGCTGTAAAGACACTGACTTAGGTGTGGTGCCCTTAAACGTATTACTGCTTGTTACCACTTCGAAAGAAATAATTTAAAAACCACTCTATGGGACAGGGACCTGTGCTAGGTGCCAATGCCCACAGGATTTTTTTTAAAGCGCAAATTCGGACATGCTCATTTGCATATGCTCTAATGTTGCTGTGCAGTGTCTGTGAAGGTCTCTGAATCATAAGAACAGTCCCATTTGTAAAAGGAGGTGGCTGGCATTTGTTTGCAGAGGAAAAAATCAGGCGGAGGGGCAATGGGCGGGAGAGAACATGTGGGCAGGTCAGCTAATCCAGGGGGATCTAATGCAAGAGCGGCTCCACAATTATTTAGCACATGCCCCCGGGCAGCAGCAGGTTGGTGGACTCCCAAAGATCTAAGGCTCCAGATTACAGATTTGCAATCTGTTGGCTCCAGCCATCCTGGGCACTCCTTAGCAGCACCTCTGTCGCCAGTCCCTGGCTCAGGGCTCTCTGCCTAGAGTGGTTGTGATGGTGAGGGCAGCCCTCCGTCTCTCTTGAAGTCCCTGTTGGGAAATCCAGTTAAATCTCTATAGAGAAAGGTTGCTTATATGTGCCTTTGTGATTTAAAATCAGACCTGCAGTGTCTCTGCTCCTCTTGCCATGGAAGAACCAGAATTCCAAGCCATGCTCATTTTTCGCTGAGGCTTCATTATTCATCTGTTCCTTTAAGAGACTGAGACTCTGCTACTTTTAGTTGCAAAGGTAGTTGCAGAGCTAATCCTTTCTGGAAGGCAGAGGGACTTGTTAATGAGGGTTTTGAGACATGTTGCAATGTCTTAAGTCCTGACTTGTTCTTCCTCTGCTGTTGAAATCATCTGCTTTGCTCCAGGATCGGTTGAGACTCATGAAGGATTGGAGGTCCTTCCTCGGGAACTACCTGGAGAAGGGACTTCTCTGCAGTGGCACCCCAGTTATGGAATACGCTTCCCAGAGAGGTTCGCCTGGCACTGACACTATATTCTTTTTGGTGCCAGGCCCAAACCTTTTTATTTTCACAACATTTTAAGGTTTAAATTGTTGTTTTAATTGGGGTTTTATAGAAGATGTTGCTGTGCTTCACTTTATTTTCTTGTAAGACTGTCCTGATTCTCTATGTAACAGGACAGTATAGAAAAGCTTTAAACAAACAAACAAATGTACTTCTCTGAAGCCCGGGCCCAATTCAAGGTGTTGGTTATGACCTATAAAGCCCTAAACAGCTTGGGTCCTGGCTACCTGAATGAGCGCTTACGTCTGTATATGCCCGACCGCCCCTTGAGATCTGCGGGAGAGTCCCTTCTCCGGGAACCCTCCATGAAAGAAATTAGAAGAGTAAGTACTCGGAGGAGGGCTTTCTCTGCGGTGGCGCCCAACCTATGGAATTCACTCCCCAAAGAGGTCCGCCTGGCACCGTCGTTACTGGTTTTTTGGCGCCAGGTAAAGACCTTTTTATTTAAACATCATTTTAATTGTTAAAATATATGATCTGGCCAGGGCAACTTCTTCTTCCTTCTCTTTTCTCCTCCT